GTGAGTTAGGGACTGCCTGTCTGACTCAGCACTTGGATTCTTGCAGTTGACCAGGGACAAAGCCCAAGATCTGATTTCAAGAGCCGGGCATGCATCCGTCCAGGGGATTTCTAGCCAGCCCCTCACTGAAGGACATCAGGACCCTCTCCTCTCTCTGTAGGCCGCTGGTCAGGTGGAGCCAGGCTCCTGGGGGAAGAGGTTGGTCAAGGGCCCAGGAGTGAGCAGACTGAATACGTCTTGGGCCATGACCTCTCATGGTGGGGTCCAGCTGGCCTACCTACCAAGCAAGAGACAACAACCCCATTCCAGGGACAGAAAAGCCATTTTCTTCTATTAAAAGAATGTCCTTGTTTTCACCAAGTGCTCCAGTGGGGACATTTTCCTGGAAGACGCTTTGGGATGAAAAAAGCTCCCAGGCAGAAGTTAGTTGCCTTGGTTTATTTTCCAGCCCTGCCCAGAACTCCATCTGAGCCGCCTCCATCCCTTGGGTGGGCTGAGTGGGCTGACGGCAGATGTGGCCCTCCTTTAGGGGTGTGCTCAAGGTCCATGCAAACCCTCACTGAGGGGCCAGATACAATGTCCTGATCCAAATGTGGCTTACATAGTTAGTGCTCACATGTATTTGAGGACACACTAAAATTTAAAAATGTCTTCTTTCCTTTTTTATTATTTGGGGGGGGGTGGGGTGGAGAGAAGGGGAGGGGAGGGGAAAGAGAAGGCAGACTTGGCCATGAAGCAAAAAATAATTTCATGAAGAACAAAGAATAAAGTTTTGCCGCATGACGGAATTTTGGAAACTGCAACATGCCCTATCACCAGGTGGGAGCAAGTAGGGAAAGGTGTGCTCTTAGAGGCGGAAGTTGATGAATCAGTACACCTTGGAAGGCTGGATTCGAGTTCTACCAAACTATTCAAGAGGCTACAAGGCACAGCATCTTGAATGAGCTGTTAGGAAATACTGGTCCTGTCAACTCGATGGGAAGCTGCAGGAAGCGGGCTAGCCAGCAGCCCTGTAAATGCCATAAAAGAGAGTAAAAACAGAAGTACTTGAGGCCCATTATGAAGGGGGACGTATTTCTTGTGTTTATATAAATTCTTGTACAGCAGGGCTAAAGGTATAGCGAGTGCTCTAGTGTCCCAAATCACTTATAACACAGGCAAGCCCAGGGTCTAAGTGTCTAACAAGGCGCCCTGGTGGTGCAGTGGGTTGTGCCCTGGGCTGTTATCCCCAAGGTCAGCAGTTCAAAACCACTGGCTGCTCCAAAGGAGAAAGATGAGGCATTTTACTCCCATCAAGAGTTGCGGTCACATTGATACCAAGGGCTCAAATTGAAGAAAATGCTTTGAGAATGACGATGGCCACATATGTACAAATGTGCT